ATGGTCTCAGTGTGGTCTTTGTGGGTCTGGAGGTAGTTTGTTAGTGAGCGCTACACAGTCGTTCCGGAAATGGGTATTGCGAAGGAACATTATGTGATCAGCACTTATCTGCACCAGGTGTTCCCCGTTGTCCGTGTACCTACTACCCAACCCGAGACGGTCACTCACTTTAGTCGTAGCCGCGCTAAGCTCACCTACCTGCCGATGAAGTAAAATGAAAAGTTACACAAGGTCTGCGACATGTGAGTATCCAAAGCATACGGAACAAAATGCACTCCGATTGAATCCGGGTGCCTACTGCTTGCTTGTGTCGTCTTGGACACCCTATGAGTACATGCCCGGCAGACACCACTCGACCGATGTGGCATGAGTTTATTGTTCGACGTAGGTTGGACGTGGGTTGGGATACTGTCAGGGCGCGCAGAACTGGACAAGAAGACGATTAGGGTCTTCAACCAAAGTCTTCGGCTGAAAAGGCCGACCACAAACCAGGGCGTTTAGCGGGATATACAAATGAAATGCCATTTCTACGGAACAATTCGCCACATGGTCCAACTCCCAAAGTGGAGGACCAGAAGACTGTTTGTCAGACCTCTAACCATTGACCAACATGGTGTGAGAGACTGTGAGTGTCCCCCAGTATGGCTCAGTAGGTTGCTGAGATGCGCAAACCGTCAAATCAAGGTAAGCTCCCGTCTCTATGTCCGGCAGAACGAACAATTAACTAAGTATGGTGGGCGTTCAAAAGCGTCACTCAAATGAAGGAAACGTACACGAAACCAAATCCATTCAGACCATGAACCTAACTATGCAGTACACTGAAAGGAACTTGAGGATATGATGAACGACCAGTCCAAAATGGAAAATCGCTTGATTGTCACCTTAGGGATCAACTGGAAAACGAACCTCCCAAACACGGCCGATAAATTAACTCACACCTAATTGAACAAAGTCTGAAAACCAAGAGACCGGCACTTTTCCCGATGCTGATACACTTCTGTCATAAACCACAAGGGGCGCGAAAAGCAACTCACCAGCTGTTTCTCTCTAGATCGTAACAATGTACATCATCTCGTGGAAGAATGGGACGGCGATCGTCACTGGCGAATTCAGAAAAGCCTCCAACTACGTATAACTGCGAGCCAACCCACGCGAGACCACAGTGGATTCTGGTAGAACTTAACCCTGCATGGTTCTCGGTTAACGGAGCCAAAGGCCGAAGGGTGCGCCGGGTGAGATCAAGCACCGACAGCTCGCTGGTACGTTCCCAGAATAGATAAACCAAGTTACTGGACTGTGGAGCGAAGGGATAGGAAACAAGAGTAAACAGGTGTGGTGGAAAGCGATGTCCCTATGATAAAAATATTTTTTCTCCGTTACAACAACACCTGATTAAAATCACCAGAATCATGAACAACACACATGGGTGCTTCATCTCCGTACCGAATAGAAAGTCCATGATATAAAAAAAAATTTAAAAAATCGTTCAGCTATAACGCCCTTCTGATGCCTAGCTGTCATGCCACCCGAAGGAAGCAGGAGGGCTGGGATACTGCCGGGTTGCCCAAGCCTAGACGGGGAAAGTCGAGAGGCAGAGGTCGGGTTCGAACTACCCTCCGATCAGTAAATTCACGCTCTAACCACTTGAGCTATCTCGCCCCCCCCCCAAGATGATATGGTGCGAGTGATATCCCAGTATGGTCTGAATAGTGTTCGAGTTTGTAAATCCAGTCCTTTGCAACCTGTGAACCACTAGGGAAGTGTAGGGAGTCTTTGAACAACCACTGTCGTTGAACCCAGATGATTTTATTCGCCCAATCAGACAGAGCATATTACACATACTCATTGTTGACCCTTACCGAGCTGCTCGTCTGAGACATTCTGGGACCTAATTACTGTTGTAAACGCACAGATAGCTGCTAAAAACTATATCTTTTGATGACACTCCCTTAGAATCAGCAGGAGGGTTAAAATGCAACCCGAAAGACTGGTCCCCTTTTCGTCTCAAAAACAAACTGAACCAAATTACTTGGTGTTCCTTTCAAATAACCAATGCAAATATTGTTATAGCTAACTCGGGTTAATTCGCTAGGTACTGAAACATCATTATGTGCCAAATTGTTCTGTTGATATTTTGACCTGTACAGTTTCCTTCCCTACATAACAGTAACTATACATTTCAAGCAGTGTAGATACAGTTCAGTTTCGTTTTTTTTTCAGGAAGAATGCCAATTTTTCTGTCCAAAATCATGCCGATCAACTGCGTGTACAGTTGGAAAGATATGTGCCGGCTGGGATACTGCCAGACTGGCCGAACGTGGACACGATCAACGAAAAAACTTGTGTCAGGTTCAAACCAGTAATCCCGCGGGAAAGAAATAACACTAACACACCTAATGATGAGCAGAAACACGTGATTGTTTCGCACAATGCACAATTTCGTGGAAAATGAGTGCTTGTCAGAAAAGACCATGAGAAATCTTATTAGTCAAGGAGAACAGAAGAATTTCCCAGCGGTCGGGGTAAAGGTCATACGTTAAGTGACAGTGGAGCTATTGGAAAACCGTGCCTTAATCGATTCACCACACGGGTTCGCTCATGGACATTAATTTGGAGCATGATTAAATATGTTGGACGGTTTCTGTCTTCAGTTCCGGTTGGACAGCCATAAGTCGTGTTCGAAGTCTGTCGGCCTTGATAGCGGAATATCACATCGATTGGACGGATGTGTCACATGCGGCCTACAGACTAAACGAAAGCATCCCATGACTAGTCAGAATGTCAGCCAATCTGGATCGAGTATTTATAGCTCGACGCTTCTCGCTCCCTCACGAAGATTCCAGCGCGACCTTCTGGAATACTCTATGTATAAATAATGACGTAATGATCTTCTTTTGTCTCCACAAAGGGCTATCTCTCGACGCTTCTCGCTCCCTCACGAAGATTCTAGCGCGACCTTTTGGAATACACTACATATAAACACGGATGTAATGATCTTCTTTTGTCTCCACCAAGGGCTGTATCAAGCTACCGTGCCTTTTGATATACCGTAGTGGGCGAAGCCAGAAGCCAAGAACCGTCACAGAAGTTGCACTACCGTCAGCAAACCACAACAAAGTGTGCGTCGGTTCCAACTGATAGAGTTGTGTTCACCGAAAATAGGACCAATAATAAGAGGACAGCCACGTCTGAAACTAAACATTCTTCGAAGCCTTCTGACAAATTTAAAAAAGTGGGTCTATTTTAACCATTTGAATAATGCAGCAAAAAGACAAAGTCTGCGGGATGCCGACAGTTCGTAATACTAAGAACTATCAATTTTGCATCCCAGTTGGAAACGAACAGCCCTGAATCATCGAAAATACACTACTTACCTGTCGAACAGTCGCATTAATATACCGTGAAGCCTGTGGAAGTTTGATGTAGTCCCCCGTGGGAGTGACAGTTAAGTCTGAACGGAGGCTGTACAACATCACTTGATCGGTACCCTGGGGGTGCGTTTCGGAAACCCCACCGATTTCGACCAGCGTACGCTCGGCGTGCGTGTGTGATGACAAGTGGCGGCGTCGGTGACCATTGTCCCGTACGAAGTTCCCAGAAGAACGGACTTCATTCGAGGATGCTAGAGGTTAAAAAATACAACCATGTGACAGTGAGAGCGCTAGGCTGCAGTACTGAGTGAGTCAAAAATAATTCCGAAAATGAACCTACCAGCTAGCTCACCAGAAACCGATAAATTGGAACCGTCTGGACCAAACGTGCAGTCAACGACACACGGAGAGAGTTCGACGGGTGGCGGACTGGCCGTCAAACTGCCACCGCTGCCTCCTTCATCCACGACCACAACGCGGGATTCCAGCCTAGGCTGGCCAGATCGCCCAACTGTGGACCACGAATCAGTGCACAGATCATAGCGAATAATTGTATTTGCTATGCTCACTATCGGTACGCTGCCGGCTGTGCGCTGATACGAATTCGGCACAATTCGATCGAGTCTGCCATCTTCCACATGGATTGGATCAGAACCACCGTTTCTGGACAGATCTATGCCACGTTGCGTAAGTGTTATTCCACCGAAAACGAATATATGCGAACTTCCCACTGCGACAGCCGCGTGACGTGCCCTGGCCTGGGGCATTGGACAGCACTCTGACCAAAGACCGAGGGATGGTGAATAGGAATACACGGTGGACATGATGTTCCCAGCCTGAAAACAATGCGACGATCAGCAAATTCAATGAAAGCAATGAAGTGTCGATAACCACGTAATTATGTTATGAACGATTAGTCAAATTACGGAACATTCGTACCGCAAAATCTCGCTCGAACAAAACTCATAGAACGGGTGAAATGTTTATTGCAAACAAAATGTGTTTGACGATGCTAAATAAGCCCATTTGAAATGAAATAAGGGGATTGGAAATGTGGAAAACTATTCAGAATCATGGGTAAAGTTGTGAGTTCAAACTAACTAACCACTTTCGGGACACTGAAGAGCGCCACTGAAGTTCACGTGTGAGTTGTAAGTTGTTTCGGAAAGTTTTCAGAGGGCTTGGCGACAGTTATGACCACTAGCATTCGCACGTCTGCTTAGAATTCTCGTAAAAGTAAGTTGACAAGTCTCGTGAAAAGACAGCGACCACACGCCTACCGATATAGAAGTGATGTTGCGTGAGATTTCATACCTAAGGCCACAACACGTGTTTGTCCGTATTTATATACATCCGCCCTATTCGGCTTCAGAGTAGCAGTTAACGTCTGCAGTTGTACTTGAAAAACACAAACAACCAAACAATGCTTTCTTTGCCGCTTCCATAACCACAGTCAAAATAGCCCCGGAGCACTACCAACAATGTTTGTGACCTCAATTTCTGAGCTACAATAGTTCCCGGATCGACAGTGGGATTATCTACCGGCTTTCTTTGCCGCTTCCATAACCACAGTCGAAACAGCCCCGGGGCACCACCAACAATGTTTTTGCTCTCAATTTCTGAGCTACGATAGTTTCCGGATCGGTAGTGGGATTATCTACAGGGAATAATAGTGTTTTCTTCATTTGATGGACTACCCCGTCTATATGCAAGTTAGCGACTCAATGAAAATGAACATTGACATGTTTTCGATAGCAACGCCCGCGCTTGTCACAGCAACGCAACGCGTTCTTTGAAAGGGTTTTCCAGATGATAATAGTGTGTGGGACTCTGGGATTCAGAAGAGTGTTTAGTAGTCAATCAAAAAATGACCCTGCGGTCGGATGAACCAGCCGGTCTGAACAATTCATTTCAATGAATGTGGGGCTTAGTGCCAGATTAATAACATACGGATATACGATATATCAGATAATATCGTTCTATTGAGCATTCGTTCGATACAAATTCTTCAAAACGGCTGTGTTGCACGTCCACAGGGAGGAAACGAAGAAAAGACAACCTCCAAAGTCCTTCATGGGGCAAACACTAGGAGCCGCGTTTACTGATCACAGAGAACCTCTAAAATTCCCCGAGAACTGTGATGTGCTTCATTATCCGCCGTCCTCATGTGAATCATTCGGAGACATCGCAACACGTAATGCCATTTGGGCTTACTCAAAGAAGGGAAGGACCATTGTCGTATGAGTGAATAACGAGGCTGAAAGTACAATCGGGGGGGGCGACAACATAGCGTACCGAAAACTACGGAAACTCACTTTGATACCTCCGATTACGAACAGAATATTGGAGACTACAGCAACAGAGAACCAAGCCAAACTATCCACTGGCATTGAAGGGCATGGCAACCACGAGGTCTTTGTGGGAGAAAATGACTGCATGCAATTCAGGATGCAGCTGTTCAGACCACCCAATACGATCAACGTGGGACGTTTTAGAGTAGCCGGGCGAGGTGCCTGATCCGTCCCACCAGCCAAGGTGCGTCTGATCATGTCTTGAGCCAAACGATTTTCCTGTGGACAAGATGAGTGCGTTGGGAAAAGTAAGACTGAACTTATCTCTCTGTTTAACATGGATAATGACAAGTAAGGAATAACCGGACTCTTCGAAGGTATTCAACAATGGCAGACCAAGAAATCAAGAGCAGACTTAGTTCACAATCACAGCCCGGTAAACGGAGAAGCAGCATGGGGACCTCGACAGATAACTTGGACATTTGAACGACGGGAAAATAACCTCGACAAAACGACGAAGTAATCCCACTATCCGGAGAGCATTAGTCAAGTGACCGGATCCACCTATGTTTACCTGATGAACCCCAACAAGAGCTGAGGGCTTAGTGTAGAAAAGCTCTTAGGGATGCGCCTGCCTGTCTAAAAATTGTGACATCCAACCAATTCAATGTTTAATACACCTGATGGCATCACTTTCAAAACGTAATAATGTGTAGGGTTGATTGTAGCATAATCCATCTTAGTTTTATGGTATCTGATTCCTACCGAGATGCGGATGGGTTGGATAGTCGGCATATCATATTGGAAATCAAGTCGGAACCCGATTAGTCAAAGCGGCACCACTACATTTGAACCGATTAGCTGAAGTCATGTTTAATTTGCCGGCTCCAGGTCGCTCACTCAAGTTGACACTGACGGTACTCACACCTGACTTGTGATATAAATGAACACAGGAAACGCTGCGATTTGGCGAACGATCCACTTAGAAGGAGACCAAATACTCCCCGCTCTCTATGTGGAATGATTAACATACATCTAGAATCCTATACTATACAAATATTGGGGCATTCGTTAAGTGAGTTGAACATACCTGGATGTAAGAGTTCTGAGTGAGTTGAGTTTTCAGGAAGTCCTGACCCAGATGCCGCAGGCGAACGTGCGACAACAGCGCGGGAAGACAGGTCGTCCGTGTCGCTGGATCGTGATCAATCCACGTCATACAAGCATTCCACACGGACTAGAGTTCGATAAGGTGGGACAATTTAAACAAGTCAAACGAGGTAACCGAGAAGTAAGACAAAATTAATAACAAAAGAACTGTACTGTCTCAACAGACAAAAAAGTAACAACCATATTGACCAATAACACAGAGGAACGAGTCTTTCAAAGGAAATGAAACCAGGGAGAAAAAGGGTCATTTTCCGCCACCGGTTTCTGTAAAAAAACGAACATATCGTCAGGATTAGACCGAAAAGGGTTCTAAGATTCGATGCAACATAGATTCGCACCGAACATCTTTAAAGGAAAATGAAAACCTCAATCAGACGACGGTAAGATGAACTCAGACACCTCGGGTGTGTGGTGGGCCCCGTCCTGTTTGTTTTATTTGAACAAACTGACACAGCAATCTGCCGGCGAAGCAAAAGTGATCAGAAAATAAGGATGATGGTGACGATGATAACACTGAGTCACAACTCAAATGCTATATTCTTCCAGTAAAAACCATAATTCCGAGGCAGTAGCACTAATGGCAGTATTTCTGACGGACTATCACCACAACTGATCGATCTTCATAAAACCTACATATTCAGCATACTGAGTAGCTGTATTTATTGTTGTTGATGGTCTATGTACCGAAGGTGCATTGGTTCCACCTCCTACAGTTTCGTTCACTTTTTATGAATACAGTAAGGATACAGCAATGTGCCCAATCTGTCCACTTTATCAGTTCGCTGTCGACAGTCGTCAGTCAGTGACTTCGTGCTGGCATTCACTCCTTTCTCTATTTCTTACGATTAGAATGGGAATAGCCCGGCAACTACGAGGCGGTATGTTTGACGCAGTTCCTATAAGCCACCCGGCCTACTCTTACTCTGATCACCGCCCACAAATAAAACAAGTTTTGAGCTATAAAATGTTAATGGCTAGCTCCAAGCAGTCGAAGAACCGGGGAATGAAGGACGGAAGGAACGGGGCACGAAACCCGCACATTATAGGGCAAATACGATCATGCTGTATTGGTAGTTACAAAGTTGTGAAGATGAGATACACAGTCACACAAGGAAGTGTCGTTTCTATTCAAATCAAGGACACTGTACATAATACACCATTAAATGTCCAAGTGTTGAATGAGAGACCGACATCACGGTCCGCTAAAGCTTCCGGCAGGGTAGTATGACCCATTCTGATCAACTAGATCAACTGAAGGATACCGGCTTCAAACCGATTGGACAGCATATCTTTTAAAACCCCAGGAATCCTCAGGCTTTTTCAAGGATCGGGAAATCTTATCATATCCTTAATTCGGCGAACCTGATGGCCCGATCGAGAAACAGGCAGGTGAAATCCTGGGGGTAACCTGTGACAGGATGCTGCACTTGCCACATAATTCTTAGGATGCGCCATAATACACAGTACACCCTAAGTAGAATGAGAACCCATTCAGGAAACACCTGTGATAGATAAAGAGCGTTAACCATTTGCAACAACGTCTTCAAAACAGATGTCCCACCCTATAAGGAACCTCCAACTAAAAAAGCCCTGAAAAATATCAATGTGGTCGATATTTTTTTCAAAGTGAACCATCTTCGCAAAACGTTCAGCTGCAGCACCTTTCCGGTGCCTAACTGCCGTGCCCCCAAAGGAAAGCACAAGGGCTGGGATACTGCCAGGTTGCCCAAGCTTAGACAGGGGAAGTCGAGAGGCGAAGTTCGGGTTCGAACCACAGACCTTCCGGCCAGTAGATTCGCGCTTTAACCACTTGGGCCATCTCGCCCCCAAAGGTCGAGGTGCGCCGACCATCTTCGCAAGCGAAACCCTGCGGGAAGTGAACAGGAAAGGTTAATCTTCCACGAAGGGATACTCAGGCAGGTAGGTGCCTGATAGGTCCTGGAACGGGGAAGCGATCCTCTTCCTTCGTGAACTTGGTACCCTATTGGGTTTAGCGGGTTGTATTGCTCATTGTTCTCTTCACACATGACAAACACATCCACTAGAAAAAACCGAGCTCCCTTTTCCTAAAATTAAATGGATCGTTCACTCTAGTTTTCACCAACGTTCTAAGTGATGATTGCAATGGTAAATTTGCGCACCATTTTCTCTCATCCCATGCTCTTTCTGACTGGAATCCAGACGTCTACTAACTCCACTGCTTACGACCTCCCATTTCCGTCCTACTCTACCATTGATCTGATTCAATTCACCGCCGGCTTTGTGCTTATGTCCATTAATTCCAACCGATGTACCTCCGATTCGACCGTTTGAATGAGCACAGGCATTTTTATTGTGTTCACTGTGTTGCCAATGCCTCCGCCCCTTTGATACGATTTAGGAACCAGTCCATAGTTGCCACCGAAACCTGTGTCTTTGACAGATTTATGGTTTAGAACAAAGATTGGGTTCAGTGAAATACACTCAGCTGCATGCCAATTTGGTTTTGACGGGAAACTCATCTGAAAACCAGCTGAATTTTTCGTTTATGATGTCACACAAAGGTCTGCTTGATTCGTCACAAGATGTTTTCCTCAGTTTGTTCAATCGCCTGTCCATATCCATGAGAAAAACCGACAGTGCACACACTGCTCTTTTTTCTCGCCTCAATTCTTTTCCAATACACTGCCTCGCGTGTTGCCTCTTTCAACAATAATTATGTCCCATTCCCACCTCAGCGTTTCACCTCAATCAGTATTCATCACGCATGGGACGTTCTGGAATTAGTCTTCAGCAAACTAGAACGGCGTGCATGACCACAGTGATGCCTACAATGGGCATGATGCAATCTCAAAAGACTCATCAAGATTTACAGACAAATCTGCTGTGGTTCTTAAGGACGTCATATCCATTTCAGAGAAGTTTGGTAAACAATTTATTTACCAAACCTCTCTGAAACGATGACTACCCAATCGGTCCCACATATTTTCCAGTTGAGTGATGTCACATCCATCTTCACTCTCTGCTTCGTACCCGCAATTACGCATGTTTCTGATCTGCTGGTTTCGTTTGCTACAAAATCACCCGTAGAGCTGACGTGAATAGAAGCCAAGCTGGACTCTGTGATACGAGAGGCAGAAAATGTAGCTACCGATTCGCCAGAAAGCCGCTCGCTTTGGCTCTCGATACATGTAGTGCCCATAATTAAAATCCTTCTTAGTTTCGTTC